AATCTAAAAGGATAGAAAATTATTTAATGAACTCCTCACAATATAAGTAAAAGAATGGTTTACATTTTTGTAAGCTAACCGTATGATTTGATCGCTTAACATTTCATTATAAAAAGTCGTCATACGATCTGTTGCCCATGTAATAGAAAGTATATGATAACAGAAATTAATTATTTGTTTATTAAACGATGTTTCTTTGATAAGTTTAGTTATGATACGCTTTTCTGTTATATTAGCAAACCTCTCCTAGAACACTTAAGTTTTAAATTAATTTCAATAGATTCTTAACTATACTCAAGCCTTCCCTCGTTTGAGTTGGGCTTTTTATTGTGCATTTGTACGTTCAAGGTTCAAACCACAACAGGTATAATGTTGCTGATACTGTTATTTAATCCAAACTTTCGTGTTTGAGCATGGCTAATGTGCTATTTTCAAGTGTGTCACAAATCTACACTAAATACAAATATATTCAGTCCATGATTCTTCCTGACATGAACCCCGTTCCTTCTGTGGTCAGGTCATTACAGAACATACGTAAATAATCTACAGAAGGATCACCTTTGCCGTTTACGTCCTCTCAAAAGGAAACATCCGTAGCAGAACTCGCTGACTTTTTACCGGAATTATGCAATCTAGTAAACTGATGGACATAGAAGGCTAAGTCAAGGTTTGCTTACCAAGAGCCAATGTTAACTCAGTGATGGTTGTACCGTATGATCACAAGCGTGGAGTCGGCCGAGGAGCTTGTTAGTGAACGATGCTCATCTTCCTTACAGAGCTAACAACCAACCTTGCCGCCAATCTCAGACCAGCCTACTGTATACATGGACGAGGTAGTGCCTGCCTGAGGCTGAGCGTAAAATATAATGATATGCATTGTTGGAATAACAAGGAACACTTTATCCCTTTTTGAAGCTGTATGTACATGCATGAAATACGATAGGATTACCTACAACGATACAAAACTCTTTCACAGTACCTTATACATCTCATGAGTTTTAATTTTGGACTCTATCTCTTTGCCGTGTTTTAAAAAATTTGATATTTTTGTCCATTAATATTTTGACATTGTTTAGATAACAATTGGCAGTTTCAGCTGAGTATAATTTAAAACAAAGTTTTTGCGTAGTACCTCTGTCTAAAATAGTTACAAGCTGGAAATAGAAAGATAATTGCGATAACATATTCAATAAGTGTTGAACAACTGTGAACAGAAACATGACAAAAATTAGTACATTTTTGACCAATATCACGGGATAATGAGTCTACATATTGATAAGTTTCGAATAAGAACCGGAAAAAAACTTTCTTTCTTACAAAAATGAAAAATATAAAAGAAATAAAAAAATATATACTATTTTTTTTTGTCATAACAAATAATTATTTTTCCCATAGGTAAAAAATAATCCCAATGTGCGTTATTGTGTAAAATTGTAAATACATGTTTAAATGCCAATTATGTAAATAAAATGTGGTCTAACGCAAGCCAATCAGTTCCAAAAGTACTTTTCATTATAAAAGACAATATTTAACCTACTTTTAAGTCTTTGTTTCTTCATCGTAAGTAAAGCAATGTTGGTTAGTTTGTTTATATATTTATGTGAAAGTATATGTTAATTTGCTTAGTAACCACTTTTATACTATTTACAGTTGCAGTAGAACGTAGGAGTTGTCTATCTAGCCCAAGACTACCTGGTGTAAACAAACATTGGCCAACAAGATTCCCGGACGTTCTCAACAATGAAGACAGCCTCCCACGAGAGGTGTTGGAACATGTACAAGTTGTGAGACAGACAAGCAACAGCTCATTAGCAACTAAAGCAGTAGGCCTACCCCCATCATTAGACCGCCTGTATGCCATCCAGTAGCACTCCTCTGTTACCTAGTATCAGATCCATTACCCCACACAAGCTAAGGTCAAGGTCACCTAGTGCTATTGTAGAAGCACCCACTTCTTTACATCCCATGTTTAATACTTAGCCTCATACTACACTGTTGCTTAGTATCTGCACTTTTGATCCAAACAGCTCAGGCATGGTACTCCCATCAATATACCTCGTGTCCACCACCTAACGTCTCCCAGCACTTACTTAATCCCTGCAGTTTTACCCCACACACGCTAAGGTCAGGGTCACTTATGCAACCTGATCGCATACTCTAGCTAGTCACGTATCAGACTTTAAACAGAAGTCATCCTGAGCCCGGCAGCTCTTTCGTCACAGAATTCATTATAGTCTTTACTTAAGACTTCATTCCTTTGTGGCAGCTGTTTAATGCTAATTGAATTGTTGTACATAAATACAATTAGGCAAGATAAAATAAATTACCATTACAATGATTATTTATGTTACAGCTTAATGTATAGATGACTGTACCTACGTAAATATTACATTTGGTATAGCTGTTTGCCTCATTTAACTTCGTTCTACGATATTAAGAATGTTAAAAACACAAGTCATCTTCTATTTAATAAAGTCTTTGCAAACAGTCAATTTAACCTATTCAAAGTTGAAAACCCGTTAAACATTTATGTATAAAGATATGATTAAAATTCATTCCGTGTTACTCTGGCGATATCATTGATCAAACCAGATGAGCCACAATATTACTCGTAAGTTTATGACACAGAATAACTAGAGCAGCACATCAATATAACTCCCACTAGAGTACGGATTGCGAAGTGTTCAACTGCAACAACCAATCACAGATAGAGAGCAGACAAGATAATCTCAAGTATCGCTCGGATCCTGAGAGGATGTCTCAAGCATTGGTCTCTACCGTGTTATGCAAGAACCTGGTAAGTTATGATTGGACAATCCTCCCCCGCAACCTTTGATGGAGACATTTATGACAACGACACAACAGTTACTGGACACCTGGAGGACAAATGACCAGGGACCACCTGTATCTTCCCTCCACTTTCTCCGACTCTTTCTTACTACAATTAATAATTACGGTTTTAAAACGTACAACAAAGTTTAATGGTTACGAAACCTTAGGTAAATATTCTTAGCAAGTACGTTTTACCCAACAAAGTTATCTAAACTCTGTTTGTTGAAAATATATTTTGTTTGATTTAATACCATTATGGTTTTAAAACGTACAACAAAGTTCAATGGTTACGAAACCTTAGGTAAATATTCTTAGCAAGTACGTTTTACCCAACAAAGTTATCTTAACTCTGTTTGTTGAAAATATATTTTGTTTGATTTAATACCATTATGGTTTTAAAACGTACAACAAAGTTTAATGGTTACAGAACCTTAGTTAAATGTGCTTGCCATGTGCGTTTTGATTAAGTTATTTACACTCTGTTACAAATATTTTTTGTTTAATTCAATACAATTTTTTAAACCTTATTAGATGCAACTCTTGGTCAGTGAACAAACTGCTCAAACACGTGAAATTTCAAAGTATAACCAGTTTTAAACATGTTTTAATGGTATTAATAAAATCATAATTTGTAACACACGTATTCTTTTGTCAAGTTATTAAACCTAAAATATTTTTACAGAGTGTCCCATAAGAAAGTTTAACCTAATTTAGGAATAGATTACATAGATAAAAAATTAAACGATAATCGAAAATATCTCGTTAGCAAGAAATCTATCTTTTTAGGGACTTATGTCCCTACAAGCCACTAGTCTTTTTTATTGTTTTAAATTTAAATCACCTGGTGGTTGTTCTATACCAGGTGCGAATAGACATGATGGATGGAAAACAGAGAGAGGTGGCGACTTGTTGGTAAAGCCAAGCACCTACTGAGGTTTGAGTGGCCACATAGGTAAGGTAAGGTAACAAAAACACGATATAACTAATAACAGCCGGCATTTAATACTGTCTCCCGCATCGGTTAAGCAATGTTTCATAACATTGTATTAAGTAACGAGGAGGTTCTATTAAAATGTCTGCTTTTCTCGAATGCAGAACTTGCATAATACTCTGAACAACTCTATCCTCTTGTTTATTCATTCACTTAAGTCATCTCTATTTAATTAACTTCGCGCAGTGATACATATGTGTAAGCAAAAACCGCATACACCATGTAATATTCGTAATAACAAACTAAGTCCTAAATCACCAGAAAGTCGGTTGGTTTTGTTTGGTTTTAATTAACAATATGAGTTTCAACGGCAACTTAAGCCATTCCTAGGGGTATATGCTTTTTCATGTTGTAGTTGATAGTATTGCTTCAGCCAATTTATAAAATGATCCCAATGTTTACCTCTAAAAGCTACTTTGACGTCTATATGTCCCAACACATTACAGCAAATGAATAAATTGTGCATTTTGTTAACGGCCTCATTATTTATTTTCACAAGTTCGTCCTGAATTTACTATAGCATTCATTGAATAAGCCAATTTACAAATTAAACGTTATTATCAACCTCTCTTATCGACTTCAACTTTTTATTTGGGATTTTTATAGAGTAGTACTAGTACGGATATATTTTGTACATTGATAACAGCGTCATGTTTTGTTTAAGTACAAGATCTTTTTCCTTTAGTAAATAACAGTGTAGCTTCAGAAGATCTTAAAAATTAACAGTATTTTGTTTTATACAAACATGATACTGTACAACTAAACATAACGCAAATATAAATTTGTCGGTCTGTCAACTCCATCATATTTTGTTTATTAAAAGTGTTATCCTTCTCTCCATAAATTTTCTCTCCACAAAGCACAAGGTAAAAAGTTCAAATGGACATAATATCTACAATTACCTGTAATATATCTTAAATTGTTTAATGGATGTACTCCTACATAAGAGTTGCCTTCCATAGCTTATAATCTCCTCAGTTATAATGTCCGATGCCCAAACTTGAGTACATATCTGTGCGGCGTGTAACCTCATCAGATTGCCAAGCCACAAGGGTCGCACCCAGGAGAGTTTATGTAAACGCAACCATTACCAGACCCGGAATACCCGGAATGTCAAGGTCGGGTGATGCTACAGTTCTGGCGGAGGTCACGGAGATGTCCCTCCACTCTGCTCCACCGGGTACTCGCCCCCCTGGCTCTCCTCAGTCAGTAGTCTCAGTGTTGTGCATCGCGCTGTAGTGAGAGTCATCTTCCCGCTCCGCCGCGCCGCCTTCCTGCCAACGTATGTACACGTGCTTCGTATAGTTCTATGGTTCCGAGTGTACACTCATGTTGAAATTCTTAAATTCTGTCTGTGTGTTGAACTATAGTTAATTACTATAGTACCAATTATTGTAATGTGTGACAAATATTTTTGTCTGTTGGGTTTTGTTATAGTTTACAATAACTTATTTTGATACACAGTACCAGTAGTAGAAAATATTATTTAGAACTCCAGTAAGATTTTTTCTACGGTTACATTTATGAAGTAAGTTAACGCGATTGATTAAAAACCCCTTTTAAGAAGTAATTAGGGTTAAGTTTGTTTTATATTTTAATGTAACCAATTTTTATTTCCTTTAAATTTTTAATACTTTATTGTAGCGTTTACCAACTTTTCCGAATGTTAGCTCTAAGTAACTTTTTTGCAAGCTGTGTTATAAAACTGTACATTTACCATACAACCTTGACGAGTAAAACATTACATAATACATTTATGATTATCATCTATTGTTGTAGTTAAGTGTGCATTGTGAACTAATAAAAGAAGTAAAAAGATTACAGCAGTTTTTATAAAAGTAAAGTAGTAAAAGTAAATTCATATAAAATTAAAAAGAATATTGAACACAGTAAAGAAACGCATTTTAATAAAATTAATTTGATGATGCTCATGTTTTATTTGCAAAAAGATTACAGTTCTTACCTAGTAATACATTATTAATGAAATCTCATATTTCTATTAGCTTTCTCATCGACTTGGAAAACAAATTTCATTCTTCCTTTGCTTCTTATAACAAGACGCTTATTATTCAAACTCAGCATAGTGTTCTCGGGCTCTATCGTCATTACTTAAGTGAACAATCTCGTTGAAATAAAAGTTGTTTTTTCTCTTTTATAAATTGTATTTTATGATGACTTTGTTTTATAATGAGATTTATTATTGATGTACCGTACGTTATACCCATATTAAGGTTAATTGAGTAATATATTTTAGGAGTAGGGGTTTTTATGTCCCACCTTTATCTTAGGACGCCAGGTTCTGACCCGCAACACATTATTTTACACATTATTTCAGGCTAGTCTTAGAAGTTCACAGCATTATCACATGGATAAAATTCATTTTTTAATTGGTGGTATTTGAACAAGGGACCTTGGGCTCTGAAGCCACGAGCTCTAAAACTAGACCAGCTCGCTCCCCAATTTTAGGAGCATTAAAATACCAGAAAACTGTTGCTTTATTTTAATTAAACAAATTAGTTAAGTAGTTTAACTCCTTAACTAGTTTTCCTAAACAAACAACTGAAACAAACATATATTTAAAACAATACTCAAAGAAAGGTTTAAGTCCATGAAGAAAAATTATATCAAGGTATACGACATTATGCACCATATAAAATACCAATTGTTTGAAACAGAGACTGTCCTGTCCACTGATTTTAAGGGATCAACGCTTAAATAATAACAATACTCAAAATTCTTTTTCCTAGTTTTCAGGATAAGACTAATTCTTAGAACAAACTTTCATTTGCTAAAATGAATATTTTCATATTTCTTTTTGGGGGGAATCTTGTTTGCTTAAGACCATTAACAGTCACCGTCCTTTTAGCGAAATTCTGTCTGTTAGCGCGATAACTCGAGCAAAAATGATCCGATTTTGATTAAATTTGGTACAAACGTGTTTATTCGAACGAGTTCGTGAACCAGCATAATCGGAACACGGAAACTGGGGTTTATGGGGTGTTTTATGGGGGTAAAATGGGTTTTTTCTATTTTTGACCATAAAAACTGTTTCCTAATGATTTTTTCAATTTCTTTCCAAACCATTTTGTAGAGCTTAAAAAATAGTATATTGATGCTCTGTTGTATGCCTAACGGTCACGGAGGAAATTAAAAAAAGTGTAATCTAAAAATTGAGAAAATTAAAACTGTTGTAGTTTACTTGTTTATGGATATATGTTGATAACATTTGGCAAACGTATTTATTTCATCCTATACTGATGACGTATGGTCAAAAACACGGTTCACCTTCCCCGTAGCAGCAAACCTAAGCACTCGTTAAATCTAATCCTTATATATAATACGTGAAGGCAATTTCTACGATCACTACTCCTCCGTTAATAATGGATGGAATTTAACAAACGATGTGTCAAAATTAAGTATTTTCTGTGTAGACGCCCCCTTTCACCAATTCATGTAATAAAAGTCCTCGGGCTCTGCCCCACAGGCCATCGAAATCATAATGTATTTCTAATGAAGAAAAGATTTTGTTTACTTAAACAGACGAATAATTCAGTAAACACATGATACACAAGAGCGTTCGTTTTCAGAGTGAGTTCGTTTTCAGTTACGATAACTGGAGTGGAGTGATTGATTGTTAAACAAATGATTAGGAATATCAATCCAGAAGCCCAATTTTTTTAATGTTTTGTGAAACTGTTTACAGTTGAATCTTTATGAGATTATGTACATCATGAGTAATTTCATTAGTTACATTATCTTTGAGTTGACTCTTTTAAGTCATCGGAAATTATTACTGTTTGCAAATTATTACTACTTTGCAATTGCTCCAATTCGAGCAACAGGCGCACTAGTGTTATTTGAATTGGGAATAAATATGTCTTATTCGTGGAAATATTTCAGTAAAAATGTAATCAGACAAGTTAAAATTCGCTTAGTCTGCAGGTTTGCTGCGGCGGAGGTATCTTAATATCTCTTTTTTACTTTAATTTTCTAATGATTACACACAAATGTATTATTGATATTACTGTTTAAGTGAATGGATAGTATTTTATCTAATTTTTCAGTTAATTTTATAACATCTGTGTTACAAACACAAAAAAAAACACTTAAACTCTTATTCATGCCGCTAAATATACTATATATTAATTATTGAATGTTACACATTTTTTTTATTTGATTTGAAAGACGGAATTATTTGGTTTTGTCATATTTTGATTAATTGTTAGTTGAATTTAATTAAAGTTGATTCTGATTGTAAACTGGCCGGGGAATAATTGCTTTTGAGATTTGCTTGTAACGCTTAACGCTGTGGGAACAGTTCCAGCAGCATCACTGTGTTGGGAATCGACAGACAGTTAAATTAATTGAGTGGAAGAGCCCAGTACAATTGTAATTAGAAGTTGCGGCAACTGCTATTAGTGCGTATTGGTAAAGTTTAATGTGTACAGTGTTATTTTCAGAAACAATTTAAATAATTAATAATTTCATTTTAATTTCTCGAAAATTATGTTGTATGTGAGTTAGAGCTCTAGGTAACGTAATGCATACAGATCTAAAAACATATCATAGTTATTTAACTAGGATATCGCAGAGAAAGATAACAATTATGTTAATGTTTTTTTACTTAAATGGAATAAGGTATAGCTTACTGCTATCCTGTTTCTGCTTCATTATTTTTGAATGTTTACTATTTTCAATAATGCTGCTCGTATACCTATTTCCACCTGTACTATTAATTATTTCGTCCAAATTCTTATTTATGTAACCTTGAACACTATACAAAGCTCTTTTAATCCGAAAAAAACATGTTATCCAGTTCTCACTTGAACATTCTCTACTACAAATCAAAGTCTCTGGTAGACAACGCAGTGAGGCAGGATAGTGTCCCGCGATTCGCTTTGTTTGGCGATATCGTGTTGGGGTTGTTGGTGTTGAGCGTAGTGAGTGTGCGGCCTATCAACATGAGGGTAGAGTAAACATGTTCATTGAAAGCTAAGAGCACCTGTAACACGTCAGCTGCGTGCACTGAGCTACATTACAAGTGTTTGTACTCTTCACTAAGCAGCCAAGCGTGTCTGGCTCTGGCGAGGTGCAAATGTTTGGCTACAACACTTACCAACACACTTGGCTAGGTCAAGATCCAAACAATCAACTTCTGAGTCACTGAAAAACAATAATTTCATCTTGACTTTGATTGCGGCTAAATCCGAACTGTTGCTTAAATATGATGCATACTTTTTATGTTGGTAAAATTATTTAAGAAATTACTATGGTTGGAAGATTAGGCGTTTATCAAAATTAGATACTCTACCAATAAAATAATAATAAATTTATGTAAATACTTTTATTTAACCTAAGAGTTTATGTAGTTATAAACGTTCAACTTTATTTTGTATGTTTCCAAAATTTGGTTTAGATGGATTTCTCTCGTAAAAATGGTCGTATCTCTTATAGGACCGGCTCAGTTATTGTTCCTTAAACCCCTTCGGGTAGACAGCTTGTCTCAACTTAACATCTGCAATAGCATGATTGTGACAATAAGAGCCTGTAGGGATGGACGTGATTAAACTTATCAAGAACTTTTGATCTTCTCTCTTGAGCACCCATTATAAATAATCATAAAGTAATTAACAATCACAAATGAGGAAGGCAGGTACCATACATTGACATATTAGAAGAAATCCGATTGCAAATAATCGTTCCTTTGACATTGATACTCTGGACGCGTTATTTTTAGTTGCAGAGAAACACAGATTTTATAAACCAAAACAAAATTAGTGTAGGCCTACATATCTTGATTTTTAAATTCATTACACGATTACAAAAAGTGCTATGCAGTAAAACACTAATTTTTAAGCCTCAAAATTATAATTTTTTTTTCATTTCAACCAAATAAATATAACCAGCTGTTCCCTTAGTTGTTAGTGTTAAAACAAAAGGTATTCATATGTTCAATTGTAAACAAACATTTTTTCCCGAAAGGATAACACGGGAACTTTAAAGGCCGCTGTGGCAGAGCACTGAGGAGTTTTACCAAATTTTATTCCACACAAACCCTCTGGGGGTGTATAGAACAAGTTTCCAGAGTTTCGTTACGATCGGATGGCCACTTGGTAACCCATAAACGGAGCGGCTGAAGGGAGCCTCTCGGGATGAAAAGCCTGTCAGTTACTGGCAGTTACTGTCATAACCTAACCTAACTAACCAAACTTGATGATAATGAAAAAATCGAATGAAGGTTAAATTCTGTTCATAAAATAACATTATAAATGCCTCAAATTCTAATAAAAGATGTACAGTTAAGAAGATATGGCATTCTAAGCAAAATCTTGGACAAAGAGTTAAGTGTCACTGACGGGATTCAATCTAGATACCTCTTGCACATCAGCCGAGTACTCTATCCACTACGCCATGAACACCGATGGCTGACCATCACACGCCAGCAAAGAAAGAAGCAGACGAATTTGATCTCGCTCGCGAGAAACAGTTACGTCATCATCTTCATCCCGAGGGGCTCCCTTCAGCCACTTTCACGCAAATAAAGGATAAAAAAACGACGAACGACAAGCATACATTGGATTTTATATAGGCTAAGGATTTATTGTTCTAAAAAAATATTTATTTGAGCATATACCACTTCACAATCGTATGTATCTTTGCATATGAGTAGATTTCTTAAAGTAATACTAAACAGTTTCCATCAAGTATGACAGGGAGAAGGTATTGTGTTCAAACACAAATGTGAAGTGGTGCAATGTGATGTGAGAGCCACACACAGGACCTGCGCTTGTAATGACTACCTTGCAAGACACTCACAGACGCATGATTGTCACACACACACAGAGAGGTCATTGACTTGCGACACTGTTGGTTTTGACACTTGCAAGTCGATCCCCATCACTTGACCCCAGAATCAGTCGCGATTGATGTGAGGTTACACAAGGGTCTCTGGGGAAATCGGCGCTGCTCCTCAGCATTGCAACTGGTCCAGTCCTAATGCACTAATTGCATATCAATTTCGTGATTGCAATCCGTCAAATGTGATAGATGCTTATCAGTGAGCATCTCATAGGTAAAGACATTTTTATTTATTTAACGTTTTACCACTATTTTCAATCCCACAATATTTTGTGGTGCTTATTACTGAAAAAAATGTAATACTAATATACAAATTTCGTAAATTTACGTTCAGTAAAAATAACCTCCTTATAAGGTTGAAAATATAAAGACACGCCTTATTATGTTATATACTCCTTGACCGCCCAATTGGTTTGTAAAATAGAACCCCAATTTTCGATATTAGAATGTTTCAATAAAAATGTACTATTGTATAATGTAAAAAAAATGTTTATTACTGAGGTACTTTTCTGTTTACGTATTTTAGACCACATTTGATGCACTCTATACGTTCCAGCTACTTACTTACTGCAACGATTTAATTAGTGTGTGAATGTTCCACATTTAGTCAATTTCATGTTTGAATAGAAACCAATTCAATACGGTTTATTGGTTAAAACAAACAATGCAAATATATCCACATCAATGGATAGATTATTAATTAACGATGCACCAATTTATTACCCACTAACCAAACGGGATTTCTCTTTTTAATCCAATTATATTACTTGGGTTTAGAGAAGGGCTTAGGGGTGAGTAAACTAATATTTTGTTTCTCTATACATAGTGATTAACATTAATCAATTTGATTCAGTGCGAAAAAATACGGGGATGAGTTCTGAAACATACAGCTTATTGTGTTTTGTATCTTCCCTTATAAAAGAGTACACCCAACGCTTTCATTTATTCAGAGCAGGATTTTATTGGGAGGGAATAAATTCGGATGAAAAATATCCAAAATTGTTTTTTTTTTATTTGACTAAAAATATTAAATATTAAATTTTAACTAACCATATAAATGTATATTACAGCTATTTTATGATCACGTCAAAACATCCCCGTAAAACTTTCCATTAAATCAACGATAACGCATAGATTTCTGCAAAACAAGGATCTATAAAAACCCTTTAAAGCAATAACCTTTTAAACAGATATCTGACCATATTTCTATTAAAATTTAATAATGGAGCAAACAGTGCTCTAACGCGATTGCAAACCACAATTTTCGCATACCAATAAACCAAAGACCACTAGCGACGATATTACAACAATACAATCGTCATCGCGGTTTCTCTAATTCAGTTCCGTGTGGGTGATGCGGTGACATTTGAAACCCATTTTCACCACCATTACAACGCCATTAGATACTAGAACTAATGGTCAGCGTAACAAGTGCTAGAGGAATCACTTGACACTTGCTGTGTAGTGTGTAGGTAACGACGGGTGGAGAGCTTGGTCGTTGTGAGGCAATGACACGTCGTTATACCTCCTAACTTGGTCCAGTATTACTTGTTAACACTAGAACTGATGGTCAGCGTAACAAGTGCTAGATGAGTCACTTGACACGGTCTGTGTAGTGTGTAGGTAACGACGGGTGGAGAGCTTGGTCGTTGTGAGGCAATGACACGTCGTTCTATCTCCTAACTTGGTCCAGTATTACTTGTTAACACTAGAACTAATGGTCAGCGTAACAAGTGCTAGAGGAATCACTTGACACTTGCTGTGTAGTGTGTAGGTAACGACGGGTGGAGAGCTTGGTCGTTGTGAGGCAATGACACGTCGTTCTATCTCCTAACTTGGTCCAGTATTACTTGTTAACACTAGAACTAATGGTCAGCGTAACAAGTGCTAGAGGAATCACTTGACACTTGCTGTGTAGTGTGTAGGTAACGACGGGTGGAGAGCTTGGTCGTTGTGAGGCAATGACACGTCGTTCTATCTCCTAACTTGGTCCGGTCTTACTTGTTAACACAGTTTCAACCAATGATACGTTCAAGTGCTAGAGGAATCACTTGACACTTGCTGTGTAGTGTGTAGGTAACGACGGGTGGAGAGCTTGGTCGTTGTGAGGCAATGACACGTCGTTCAACCTCCTAACTTGGTCCGGTCTTACTTGTTAACACTAGAACTAATGGTCAGCGTAACAAGTGCTAGAGGAATCACTTGACACTTGCTGTGTAGTGTGTAGGTAACGACGGGTGGAGAGCTTGGTCGTTGTGAGGCAATGACACGTCGTTATACCTCCTAACTTGGTCCGGTATTACTTGTTAACACAGTTTCAACCAATGATACGTTCAAGTGCTAGAGGAATCACTTGACACTTGCTGTGTAGTGTGTAGGTAACGACGGGTGGAGAGCTTGGTCGTTGTGAGGCAATGACACGTCGTTATACCTCCTAACTTGGTCCGGTATTACTTGTTAACACAGTTTCAACCAATGATACGTTCAAGTGCTAGAGGAATCACTTGACACTTGCTGTGTAGTGTGTAGGTAACGACGGGTGGAGAGCTTGGTCGTTGTGAGGCAATGACACGTCGTTATACCTCCTAACTTGGTCCGGTATTACTTGTTAACACAGTTTCAACCAATAATACGTTAGTTGTTTAATGGATAAAGTTTTAATATCATAGACAAAAGTAATGGTTAAAATTGAATTGTATGTTTAAACTGTTTCATTAATTCGAAATTTATTAAAACAACCATTGATTAAAACGAAATAAAGCTCAATCATGATTAATCCACAATATTGCTTGAAGATTACTGTATAAGGAACCGACATATAATAAAATTGTAGTTGTCTGCGTTAAAACACGCTAATGTCTAGTGTATTAATATATATCATAGGCTATATCATATAAACGTTTTCTATAAATAAGTAAAAAGCTAACGTATCTCACTCCCTTTACAAGAGTGATTATACGGAAGGTGACACCACGTGTTGTCCTCCCGTTGTATTAAATTACCCCTAATGACGCTCATCAAACAGTTACCTAATTGCAATTACTTTTTTTGTACTGAATTCAATTAACTGTTTTGGTTGATTATGAATTTACACTTAAAAAACCAAAGTTTTAGAATCCTCTCCACAAACAACATAATATTTTCTATTTACACTCAAACAAGCAGTAAATTCAGATTTGAATATTTCATTGAAAATTTAAATACAATCTTTTTCAAACTAAACATTTTAAAACAATGGTAACTAACAGTTCTCCGTATTTATCTAGCTTTAACAACACGAAATGTAGGTTTGAGCCGCAGTACGTTCGCAGCAGTTTGTTTATTATTCCGATGGGAGCTGAGCCCCAGTTAACCTAGATTGATCTTTTGATGGCTCGTAGTTGGTGCTGGAACCCCGTAATCTCTTTCTTGGGAATCTGTTCCATTGTTCTGAATAATTCGCTGAACTGTTCCCAGCTGTTAACAAGTGTTGCATAACCGCTTCTGCAGTTGAGCATTTTATACGATATCAACGACAAGATTTACATAACGCATACATGTATTACTTTGCATTTACCATTATTTAGTTGTTCGTATACCAACCTAATAAAATACGTCTTCAAAGACTTGCCATGTATCTAAACTTATAAAGTAAATTATTTACAAGACTTATATAACTTAAAATAATTTATAAGACGCTAAACGTACATAAAATATGTTACAATGAAGACCGATTTCGTTTAGGCCCACCGGTCATCATAAAACCAATAAACTTATTATAACTAAGGTTATAGTTACGATAAACTTTATAAAATCGTGGCATTATTTGGTAAATTGTATGTAATTATACCTTTGTTAGTTATTGCTTTGGAATTTACAGTCCTAAAAAAATCATTTAAATAATATCACCGATTAAAGTCTGTGGTAACATACGGTTTTACAATAATACTGTAGTGAAGCACATATTCGAATAGACAAATATTAACTACCAAAATATATAAGAGCTAAATATAAGAAAGTAACATTTCCTTGTGATATAAAAAGATCGTTAATTTTAACATATATTGCCAATTAATTGATTTATGTTTTCCCTTTACAGATGGTGGATACAAACAGAGGAATTTCGTGGCACATTGTCGTGGCCATCTTGTTTTGTGGATTGTCATACGCATATTGCGCAACTAAGGTAGGACATTACCATTCAATATAATTTAACTTAAGTTATTACTACCTATCTGTTATAAATATATGAGTAGTATATAAATTGTGTGGTGATTATAATTGTGTAACATTTTTAAACGTTTTAAACTAAACTCGAAACGTTTTATAAAAGCATATTTTAGTCACGCTTCTAATAATTACGGAGAACACTGTAGTTACATAATTATTACGCAAATGTTAAGGCAAATAAATGTGTTTTACCGAGAGTCTCACACTTGGGATGGTTATTCATTTAAATCCCCACAACCAATGTACTCTTGTAGGATAAATATTATATTTAAAGTATGTGTTAAGTAGTTTACGCTTCGGAGCTTAGAGAAAAATGTCATTCATTTTGATACAATATACAGCATCAAGAAATGAACTGTGAGTCTACATCCTTTGTGTATATTACGAGAAATATATAATTAGCTTTTATGTATATGATTATATTTCAGTTAAAACAGACCCCCGACACGAAGTGCCCCTAATGAAGAGGCAGGCAGAGGGTCGTGGGGTCGTATTACGCATGCAGGTCGGTGGTCACCGGAGCCTAATGTGGTTACGCGGACCCAGTAATTTACAAAACTCGTGATCGTGAAGAAAGGAACTTTGCATGAGTTACAAATGGAAATGAGTTCGATCGGGTCTTATTTGGCACCGAATGTGTTCCCTCGATACTGTGAAGCAACACGTGTGTCCTTGGCAGTAATGTTGAGGGTTCGTGAACGTTGGTGGCAGTGAGCTGGACTTATTGAGACCATTATCTTGCTTAGGCACACGATCTATGCAAAAGTCTGTTTAATAAAAGTATTATTTTCCATACATTGGATTCAAGAGGATTTTGTGCTTACAATTTTTGAATTTTTAAATATTACAACTAAGAACAGTGGTGATAAAGGTTAATATTAAATTGAATTAAATTAGATGATCAACATTATTATTTTCCATGTTTATTGTTATTGGCCATTCCAATGTTTACGTGCAATGTTACTAATGAAATCCAATACATTGGTAGAGGTTTCTCATCAATTGTATGTCGCTTTATGGTTTATAAGCATGATGATGATTTATAAGCAATCAGGAGGTAATAGGAGATGTTTAGGGTTTTTAATCGTTTTAATGCTAAATGAAAATTTCGTTACCAGTATTTGGAGTAATTATTTTATTGTTTGTTATTGCTAGAAGAATATCTTGAAATCTTGGAATCCTTCAGGGGGAAAATAAAAAAATTCTGTAATATAATATGTAATAGCTCTCCATATATCATAAAATTTAATAGACATTACTTTATTGAACTCTGTTTAAAAAATATGGGTCTATCATGTTTTCCCTGCGTTTCTCTCTAATGTGTTTCTGGCGTATACGTTATTTATTTAAAAGCTTTTAAACGATTTAGCACCGATACCAGAAGCCATTACGAAAGATTTATAAGAGCCATCTAAGTTCAACTGACGATATCTAGAATTGATAAGGCAAGAATCCCAATTTATTCTGTTTAAGACAAAATATTCTTACCTTTCACTGGGTTTTACAAGTGGCAATGCATTTAAGTAAAGATTAAGTAATATACGAGTAATATTAGTGCTTATAATAATATTATTTTGTTATATTACTTGATTTAAATTTTTATGCTACTCAATTAGGTAGATTTTGGGGTCGAATTTAAAATTTTATCGTGAGATAATAATAAAAACAAATAGCTTACCTTTCTAATATCTAAATACTATACTACAGCTATGAGTAGGCCTGACGACTTTTTCATGGAACAGTCATGTAAATTCTGACATAAGAGACTAGTCATTTAGTTTTGTGATTGACTTCTTCTTTAAATAATTTTCGATAAATAATTTGATGAGAAAAATGACAAAATATTACCAAAATTAATCTATGTTATTTTTATAAGCTAGATAAAAATTTTGCATTACTACCACACCTCTCTGTGGACATATGTACAAAGTATATAGTCCAGGAGCAAACTGCACATATCCAGCTTCCGTGGGATTTTTTGTGAAGGGAATGTGTGACTATGTGGAATCTCTTTATTATATGTCACATAATGGTGTAGTACCGGGTGTTTACCCTCAAATTGCGGGGTTTGGTTTTTGTGACGTCTTAAATCCAAGATGGCCGCCATGTGTGACATCTATTCAACAAATTAATAATAACTCTTTCCAGAGTAAAATAATCGAATTTTAATTTATACCATTGAATTCAGCTCAAAAAATCAAACAATTTGGTGTTTTGAATCATTGCTCTATGACCATTGGTTACCGAGATATTGAAGGCGGAAAATACAGAACATTGTCCCCAAGCAAGACCCCACTACCCCCATGTTATCCTTATAGGGAAAAAATAAAATTGTATATCTAGCTTATTACTCAGCATATCTTAATAATAATTGGTATGTGGCTTCATTTAGTAGAGATCTACTTGATTATGGCCTAAAATCCCCTATTTGTTCATTTCCGTGGCAGCAAACCTGCATACTCACTTTCCATGGTATTCTTATGGTCAATATTTTTGCATGCTTGTCCATGAACATACTTTGAGAAATGATGATGTGTGGCTCCATTTTAATTATTTTTTGAAGCATTTGCAATTCGTTGAGTATACAGGTCTGCTGCTACGGGGGTATTGTACCAATAAAAAAAATCTCACAAATTATAGGTATAAAATAAAATAAAATAGACTATAGTTCGGGGTCATATGTAATTTCTTGTGATTTTGTATTAAGCAATTGTATGATTGGTGGTGATAGATAGGTAATGACATATAGAATTGTGTACTACCATACTACCGGGTGTTTTGTCTGAAAGTGTGGCCTAGCTAGTGTTTTTGGCCCGCCGTCTTGGATCCACCATATTGGATATTAATACAATTTTTTAAATCTAATGCTGGTGTTGTGACTCATTATTATAAAGTAGATGTTTACGCTAATTTCAATTCCGAAAACCGTTTGTAAATATCGTTTTTAGTTTTGAAGATATATTGAAATGAAGACTCCCCCCCCCATACGTTTCTTACCGACGTTTTGTACTTTGATTATTTTTCAGATTATTTTTCTCATATATCCAGTTCTTATTATCGCTTGAAATTTGTTCTAGTCTTAAAGTATTCAGTGATGTAAGAGCTTTTATTTAAGCTATTGATCAGTAAAATCGGATGAGTTAGAGTTGAGCTATGAACCACAACACAATATTAAATTAAAATTTTTCCAAATCAGTTTTTATTAAAAGATTTATATCTCGGGTTGTTAATACGTCAAAAGGTTCATTCTAGTCTCAAATTACTCAGTAAATGTTTGGTTTGAAATTTTATTAATCACTAAATGAAATCTGACTAATTGAAAATTGATCATGGACCTTTATTTAACATTAATAATTATTTTTATTTTGAAATTTGTCTTTGGTTAAAGCAATTAAAGACATACAGGGCTGGTCATCAGGGTTACAACATTTGTTTGGTGTAAGTACAAAGTAAATTATGTGTGATGAGGCATATAAGACTAAGAGGTTCCACGTCTAAAAATTGTAACACTGATGACCTTACGAAACGTCCGTAAGAAATATATGAGGGAGAGTTTTTATTTAAATATCTCTTCCAAACGAAAAAAGATATTTAAAAACATATTTCAGCATTGAAATCAGCGTGAAAATCTAGTTCATAATGATGTGTCACAACACTAGCATTATATAAAAATAGTTATTAATATCCAATATGGCGGATCCAAGATGGCGGCCGAAAACACCAGCTTGGCCACACTTTCAGACATGTCATTAGCTATCTATTGCCAACAATCATACAATTGCTTAATTCAAAATCCTACAAAATTACATTTGCCTCACAACTATAGTCTAATTTTATTTTATTTTCTAATACCTGTAATTTATTTATAGCTACAATACCCCCGTAGCAGCAGACATGTATACTCAACGAATTGCAAATGCTTCAATAAATAATTAAAATGGGGCCACACATTAACATTTCTCAACACGTATGTTCATAAACAAGCATGCAAAAAATTTTCCATAAGAAAACCATGGGAAGTAAGTATGCAGGTTTGCTGCCACGGAAATGTAAAAATGGGGGATTTTAGGCCATAATCAAGTAGATCTCTACTAAATGAAGCCACATACCAATTATTATTAAGATATGCTGAGTAATAAGCTAGATATACAATTTTATTTTTTTCCCATAAGGATAACATGGGGACAATGTTCTGTGTTTTCCGCCTTCAATATCTCGGTAACCAATGGTCATAGAGCAATGATTCAAAACACCAAAATGTTTGATTTTTTGAGCTGAATTCAATGGTATAAATTAAAATTCGATTATTTTACTCTGGAAAGAGTTATTATAAATTTAATGAATAGATGTCACACATGGCGGCCATCTTGGATTTAAGACGTCATAAAAACCAAACCCCTAAATTTGAGGGTAAACACCCGGTACTACACCATTATGTGACATATAATAAAGAGATTCCACATAGTCACAAATTCCCTTCACAAAAAATCCCACGGAATACAGTTTGCCCCCCGACTAATAATAACTAACACTGCTTGATAAGAAATTAAATAAAGTAACGATTACTAAGACTTACTTTCTTACTAATACACTGGTGTTAGTCAAATTAAAGAATCGTTGTCTAAGGTTTTTATGTTAATAGTCTACGAGCCTTAAACGTAAAAGCTGTAATTGTTTTCAAGACGATATTAGGGAAACCTCCAATAAATTATTCAGCGAGGATAGCAACTCAACTAAATTAAAACACCTATGAATAATATGCAGTTGTGTTTCCTGTGAATTGTTCCTCAAGTTCAAGACACTCTCTCCGATGCTCCGCATCACAACATAAACACAATAGCATCGGACTTCCGTGTCGCATATTTCATACCGTGAGGCAACGGAGTGTTGTCGGCCATCTTCACCATTCAAGATGCTATCAGTGTTGGTGGACCTTAGATATGCGTGAACATTGCA